CAATTGGCAAACCAATTCGAAAGTGATCCGCTAACGATACGTTTTCATACATTCGAGAACGATACTTTGTCTGCCACAAACAGAGCGACCCGTCGTGGGGAAATATTCCGAAAAAGATCGGTTAGCGATTATCGTTTTCAACAGTTTTGTTCGCAAAACATCTGTTTACGATATTGTTTGCGAATATTTGGTCGGCTGGGAAGCTACACTCTGTTACTCCCACCACCTCTGCAGCCGCAAACCGGCTTTGGTTGCCTTCGCAACAATTTGGTCGCATCAATTACAAATGGTTGCTGGCAATCAATAGTTTTCAATAAAAATGTATTTTATGTCGCGTATAAAAGCGATTACTCCTCTTATCCCAGCTCGATTGGGCGTGGGCATGACCGTGAATGCATTTGACATGCAACAGCCACCTAAATTTCATTCAATTGAAATTCTATAGTGGTAACTCTTGTTACGCTTGTTTGCACGCTGGAAGTCGCGGAATCAAAAGTGTCAACGCATGTATGTATGTATGTATCTTCGCTATCCTCGTGCTTTTTTGCTCCCTTTGCATACGATGAAATGACGTGATTTTCACTCGAACGGAGTAAAAGGTCACGTTCACTTGCATATTTTGTTATTGAATTTATTAAAAACTGGCAAATACCCGGCGTGCTTGACTGCGCCTTAAACGTATTTTTGTGCTTTTTTATACCCGTATTGTAAAACCTGATTTATTTTATCAATTTAATTTCATACAACAGGCGGCAACCATCCTCAAAAATATTTTCGGCAGCAAACTTTCCTAAACCGTCTTCAGTTTGACACCCATATTGCAATATAGAATTTATCTTATCAATTAACTTAAATCACCTAACAGGTAAATCACAAAATAATCGATTCCTTTCGGAATTTTGAGAGGTAAAAGCCAAATATTTTATAACTCGCCATAATAAAGTTTAATCAGAGTTGATTTGATAACAATTTAAACAGCATGCTTTCTCAGAAAATTAACTAACACATAATCTCCGTAAAGCATACAATTCCTTAAAATATTAATAATTTAAAATACTTACAAAAAACTTGACCTAATATGCAAATTAAATTTTATTTTATAATTACATAATATAATTTAATTAATATTATTTTTACTTTGTTCTCTTTCAGCCACATTAACATTGCTTGGCCACACACAAAGTAGCTGGTGAAAGTGACGTACATTTGCGTAGGTATGTATGGATGCGTTGCTTAATTTATGTGAAAATTTCAATGCAAATTCAGTATATAATTCATTGCGCGAATATGTGCAAATTACATGCAACATTTGTGGTCATTAAGTTATGATAAAAAACAGCAATAAAACATTAATTTTAAATTTAATAAATAAAATCATGTAAAGAGTGCGATTGTGCCAAATTGATCAAAAGAAATATGCGATGGTGAACTAAATCGATGAAAAGAATGAAAAGCTCACTAAAATACATTAATAAATAACGGTATGTATGCTGCAGAAAATAGAACAGTGTGGAAATTGCAAAAGGTTTATGATTACGACTAAACGACAACATGAATCCTAACGTAAACAAATTGGTAATCTGTAGTCTTTAAGAAGACGGCAAAACAAAAGTTTTGAAAATTACATAGTTAACGAAATTCTTAGTTTGGCGCTTTTGTAATAACTGGTCTAAATATTACGCTTGACAAGATGCATAGATATTAAAAAAGGAGTATACCCTGCGATATAATTTATCTATTCTGCCCTTCACAATACTTCGTTTCATTCTTCATACCGCAGAAAGTATTTATCCTTGCCCATATTGCACCCAGACGTCATCCTAACACTCGAGCGATAGTTTCAGTGGCGTCTCTTTAGCTGAGTCGGCAGAGCCCTGTTATGATGCCTATGATGAGTCGCTTCCGGGATCTTCGCTGATTGTGTTGAACCTACTGGAAGAAATTGTTTTTTTTATTTCGGTAATGTCTACGTTTGTTAATATCTGTACACCTTCGCTTTAAAAATTCTCAGTAAATTTCTACACAGACATCGATGGCCCCTGTCTGGGCCAAGAGATGCTTCCCCAATATTTCTGTGGTTTCAGAGCTATCTCGGCGCCACTACAGAGTGCCCGCTTTGACATGCCCGTTCTTCTCACAAATCCAATGCTTAGTCGAATCATCTCTGGGAAAATTGACTAGTGGAAGCTGGGTTCCTAGTTTTTATATGAACTTAGATGCTATGACCTTTTTTCCATATGTTTGTTAGGCGCTGTTTAAGAGAGCGCATTTGACTGCCTTTTCTTTGGCGAGATTAGTGTCTCAGGCTCGAAAGTTATCTTCAGTGCTGTATGCATTTGGACACTTGCTTCCATAAAGCATTCACAGGCTAGACGTTGAATTTCGGTGAGAAATTGTCTTAGCTTGGATTGAGTATTTCTCGGAACCTAATCAACTGTGCTCTACTTGTCATTCTATCAGAGTGTTTATCCACCTCATAGGACAATGTTGTTTGGAGGGACGGAAACTTAAAATGTGCTTAGTTTTCTCGGACTGATACTCATACAATTTATTTGGAACCCACGTACGTAATCAGAACAGAGTTTCATCTAGGACTTCGCTGATTTATCAGATTGAGAGACCACCACCAGGACACAATTTATTTAAGTGACTACTCTTCGCTTCCTAGAGTTTGAGCGAAACACCGCTCGGTACTACCGTCCAGAGCGCCGGAGACAGTAAGAGTGCCGCAAAGTGTAACTGAATCATTCCAGCTCATAAATGACCCTCTTCTGAGCCACAATTTTTGATAAAAAAGATAAAGTAGAAAATGGCGTGGCATCCTTGAGTTGGCATGTCTGTGCAAACAACAACAATACCAACAGCATTCACAATAACTTATTTGATAAACCAAGACTCGGAACACCCACGGAAGTGTAAACAGACGAAATACAAGCGGCGGAGTGGTTGGTTGCCTTCCAGTGTATGTGAGTGCATTTCAATTAGTGCTGCGTACGCGTAAGTGTGCGTACAAGCAGCTGTTCGCTTGCACATAGCTCAGGCAAATGCGCCGTTTTGTGGCAATAAATTTAACGCGCCGCTGAGAGCAGTCAATGTCGAACAAGCCAGACACGTCAGCGTCACCCAAAGAGGCATTCAGTGGGTTAAGAGGAGGCGAACAAAAAGCAAAAACAGAAGAGAAAAAAAAACGCACAAAACCAAATTGCTTGCAGTGCCAGTGACGCAGTACAGCTATCGGCCACTAACTACGCTCCGCCGATAGCAACTGCTGCAACTAATGTGCAAATGTGTGGCATAGTGGCGCGTAGGGCGTTGTCAGTTAACAGCGACAGTTATGGCCGCCTGGCTATCTTACGGAAGATACCAAAGATGGCAGCCAGCATGCGAGGAATGTAAATGACAAACATGGCGGAGCGACTGACTGACTGATTGACGTTGATGAATTCAGTTCATTTCGTAGGCGTAGCCGCCAAAGTGCGTTGCAACTGCTATGCCATGCGAGTGTGCGTGTTTGTGCATTTACAATTGCAAATGGTGCAGCGTAGCATTTGAATTATGGCATACATACATATGTATGAACAAGCTGATATACTTTCAGCTGATAGACATTACCAGTCGAGCGTAGCCAACAGCCAACCGGCAGACAGCCATAGCGGAAGTCAGCAACGATCCGCATGGATTCGCACTGACAAATTTGCATATAAATTCGGTAGCAACCGCTTGCGGTATCACTTCGAAATGCACACATACATACTCTACTACTCGTATCTGCATTTGCACTCATGTACGTGCGTTTAAATGAATTTCGCATTTTCGGATAGCACATCTGTGTTAAAACAGAAAAATACTTGGAGTTATAAAACCTTTGGTTATGTAAGAGTTAAAAAAATAGTACCTCGCGAATTTTCTGCTTTCTGAAATTAAAAATTATACAATAGGCATGCAAATCTTTAAGCGCTGTTATAAAATTTTTTCTGAAATTTATTTGTGTTTCTTGCTGTGATCTTAAATTTTAGTCATGGTAAATAAAATCTTAAGAAGTGAGTTGTTTGACATTTGGAGAAGTGTTGCTGAAACTTCTAAAAGACAAAAAGGTGTCCGTGATTATGTGATTAGTAAATTGAAAGAAATATCTGATGAAAATGCTCGTTCCGAAAGTAAATAAAGTAAATTAAGTAAATGACTTTAGATTCGTAATCAGCAACCCAGAAAATCCCAGATACCCAGTAACATAGAAATCTACCGATTTTTTTTAATTTTCGTCCGCCATATTGGATCCGCCATTTAGAATTTTTGGTAAATGACTTTAGATTCGTAATCATCAGCCCAGAAAACCCCCAGATACCCAGTTTCATAGAAATCTACCGATTTTTATTTAATTTTCGTCCGCCATTTTGAATTTTTGATAAGTGAATTCAGATTCGTAATCAGCGACTGAAAAACCCCCTAGGTAAGAAGTGGTGTAAAGATCCATCAACGAGTATTTGTTTAAATAGTTTCGTCCAGCTAGATTTGCGATCCGAACCACTGTGCAGCCCAGCCCATAAGCCCACCAACTTACATTTTAAGATATGCAACACTTTTGCGCTTTTTGGTTCCACTGAAGCGTACTCATTTCATTGACAACAAAGAAAAATATTTTCGAAGCGCAAAGTCACACACACACACACTCAAACGCTTTCCTGCAGGCAGCACTATCTGCTGTTATTCCAGTGGCAAATTGCCGTTCTTCATCGAATTTGAATGGGCGAAAGTGTGTGAGAAGTGATGTAGGCGTTCGAGTGCAATGCAGCAGCTGCAAGTTGGCGCAAAAGCAGCTGCAAGTGCCTAGCAATTAAGTTGTGGAAGAAGTTGTAGGTGTTTGGAAAACTTTTAGCAAAGTATTTGTGATTTATTTGATTTGCTTTTTGAAGCGTAACTCCGCGCAAATAATTTGTGTGCGCCTGTGTGTGTGTGTTTGTTTGCATAAATGTTTGAGCTAAATATTATTTTTGGCAAAAAATTTTATGTAATGAGATTCATAATTTTCCGTAAGGCAGAAAAGTGTAGGAGATCCCTGTAAGAAAGATATTTGAAAGCTTGAATGAATCTACCTTATATGTATGCAGGGCCGTAGCCAGGATTTTTTTCGGGGGGTTCTGATAAAATATTTTTTTTATTTTAACTTTTGTTTCAACATAGATTGATTAAAAGAAAAAATACTGATATAAATAAAATATTTCACACAAACAGGGTTGAAATTTTGAAATTCCTGCCCGTATTTCGTTTGTAAGTCAAATATTATTTAGTGGCATTGTGCTACAGTAGTCGAAAAAATTATAGCTGCACCAAATTGTGACAAGTTCTAAAATAATATTTTTTTTTGATATTTCATTTCGGTTAGTTTTTTATAAATCATTCTTTAACAACATCCATATAAATACAAGTTTAAAGGCAGTGTTACACGATTGGGTATATGACGAAATTTGGTCAAAATCGTGTCACAATTGTGTGAATAGCCAAATATTTTTCTTATCCCAATCACGAAAAATAATTTGTTGAAATTTCAATCGCTTGTTTTGTATGGAAAAAGGTTTCACAAGCAAATGAATTTTAACAACTTATAATTTTCGTGAGAAAAAATTAAAAATATTTGACATTTTCGAGACCAAATAATTTGAAAATAAATCAAATCAGCTCCTCTACTGATACTACCTGTTCAATGTACCTTGGTTTATGCACTCCCATCAAAGGTTTTGAAAAATACATACTTTAATTCGATCAAAAATGCCTTTAATCAAATCAAAAACTTCATAAAAGTGTAGTATTAAGCGATTATACGCGAATTTTGCAGAGCTTACGAAAATATAACCTTTACTAAACAGGGGTTAGTAGTTTAGACGTAGAGCCACTAAAAGTTGACCATTTTGCCCACATTGAGAAAAACTTTTATTTTTTGGTTCCTTTTCGTTATATTTAAAATTTTTTTGTCTATAAATGGAGCCACGCATTTCCATTTTTTGGTATTTTGCAGAGGGGAACTTTTAAAAGTAAATATTTTTCCTAAAAGTTCTTAGATCTATCTGTTTTTCGTAAAGTCTATGTTTGACCCTTCCTTCAACTTGTGTAGAAGATAAAAAGCCCAAATGCAATCCTCTCAACTCTACAACTCCTGGCAGCGTTGTAATATTGGAAACTCTAATGAAATATCTCCATAAGAGTCGATATCACAACA